AAAGCAAAGGCGCGTCGCCAAGACACCTCCACCTCCTGAGAAGAAGGGCAAGACCAAGGAGGAACGCATGGCCTGGTTCAAGAGCTCGACTGAAGAGCACCAGGAGCGATTCCGTGGACCAGGATCCAAGCCAGAGGAATCCAGCGAAGCGCCAAGGCAGACGCTTCGGCTGAAGTCCCGGTCACGATCCCCGGGCAAAAGCCGAGCCGCTTCGGCTCCGGCTGCCTCCGAGAAGGGCCAAGGAAAGGGCAAGCAGAGGAAAGTGCAGTTGACTCGAGCTGTCAACGTGGCCACTCAAGATGCTGCCCGTGAGGCCAAGAAGGGAAAGGGAAAACGATATCCCACTCCCTCAAGCGAGCCTGATGAAGGCGATGACGATCCACTCGCTCTCAAGAGTTTGGAGCTGGCATCCATGGAGACGCCAATGGCTCATCAGGTGACCTTGGATTCAGGAGCCGCGACCTCCTGCATCCCTGTTGAACTGGCCACCGCATTGGGCTACAAGCCTATCCAGCCTGAAGGCACCGGCAAAGTCTACAAGACTGCCTCAGGCGAAGTGGTCAAGGACCTTGGCAAGATCGATGCCATGGTGACCATCGGCATCGGCCAGAACTCCCTCAATGGACGTTGCTGTTTCCGGGTGATGGCGGTTGCAAAACCGCTGCTCTCCGCGGGGGCCCTTATGAGCAAGGGCTGGTGCATTCAGATGCACGGATCTGGTGGACAGATCTCCCGAGACGGTACTAAGATTCCGATCTCGTTCAGCAACGGCGTCTGTTCTGTGCCGCTTGCATTCCACCCTTTCGTCCGGCACCGCAATGGGTAAGCCCGGTGGAGCAGGCCGAAGAGGCCGAGCAAGGCGACGAAGTGCCGCCTGAGCTCCGAATCCATGCTCCCACTCGCCCGACGAGAAAAGAGTTTGAAGAGCATGTTGTGTCACACTTCCCTTTTAGGTCTTGGTGTGAAGCCTGTGTAAGGGGAAAAGCAAAGGCAAACCCCCACAGGAAAATAGACCACACCGACGAGACAACCCCAGTAGTAACTGTAGACTACTGTTTCATGAATTCACGAACTGATGATGTAGTTTTGGACGAGAAGACTCATGCACCAATTCTTGTTGTCAGAGATCGATGGACGAAGCATCTTTTTGCTCATGTGTTGCCCTACAAAGGTGTGACAAAAGGTCCATACGGATCCAAAAGTACTTTTGAACGACATCAAGAAATTAGGATACTCCAAACTGATCATTCGACATGATCCTGAACCTGCCCTCACCTCTGTTGTTGAGGCAGTAAAGAATGGGTTTGAAGGAACCCTGATCATCGAGAAGAGCCCGAAAGGAGTCAAAGAATCCAAGGGAGAGATTGAACGAGCAGTTCAAACCTTGGAAGGACAAGCCAGGACTCTTCGAGCCGCAATCGAGTCGAACTATGGTGAGAAACTTCCTGACGATTCACCTGTTTTGACTTGGTTAGTTGAACACGCATCCACAGTCTACAATCTGTTTTTCCGATCCACCGAACTTCAAGACGGAAAGACTCCGTATTCACGACTTCGTGGACGTGAATGGAAAGTAGCAATTCCACCATTTGGTGAGGCCATCGAATACCTCAAGAGAGGTCACAAGTTCGAGGCCCAATGGACCAAAGGAATTTTTCTAGGAGTGAAAGACACCACCACAGAGAAGATAGTAGGAAACTCCACAGGTGTTTTCACAGTGCAATCCATTCGAAGAAAGCCAGAAGAAGATCGATATGATTCAGAGTTGCTGAAATCGATCACTGGAATTCCCTGGGATCCTCAAGCAATTCGCGAAGAACCAGCAATTGCAGCCCCAAGGGAACCAGTCATTGCCAGTCCAAGTGGTGAAGCTTTAGTTCAACCACCGGCAATAGATGACAAGAAAAGAAAGCTGAGAAGGCTTTACATCACCAAGAAAGACCTGGAAAAGTTTGGGTATACTGCAGGTTGCCCAGCTTGTGATGCCACACAGATTGGCAAGAGATCTACAGGCATCCATCACACCAACAGGTGTCGAGACAGACTTGAAGAGAGCATCAGAGGAGAAGAAGAAGAGAACCCAAGAGTAGCAAGACATGAAAGCCGAGTTGGAGAGGCAATCACTGGCATGCCACAACCCGTCAGTGGCAAGAGACCTCAAATCCTTCATGGATATGAAAGCAAAAGACCATCGGGAGTTCCCGATTCGTGTCGAGTGTTCGCACGACTTGACGTCGAAGCTTACTGTTTTCAAACCACCATGCCAGGAGGACCTGATTGGTCCACCGTCTGGCACCGAGTCACAAGAAACCATGCAAACAATGTAATCATTGAGAGTGGAGTCATGACAACAGACCTTCCACCAGAGATACTCAATGGAGCATTACCACACAAGATGGACATTGTGACAGAACTTTGGTACGAACCAGAAGCAGCACCACCAACACCAGGCACAGCATCAGCTTCAGCATCAGGTATTCGCAGACCACGCGAACCTGAACCACATGGAGAAAAGAGAGAACACGAAGAACAACATGAACCAGCAGGATCACCCACAGCAAAAGCCAGAGTAGATAGAGACAAGAAGAGAAAGGCAGAGGGCGAACATGAAGATGAAGCCGAGAGAACAAGAGACATCCAGAGCATTGAGATGGCTCTAGAAAGCCTAATCCTAGAAGACAGAGAGAGAGTGCTATCTAGCATCGACCCAGAGAAACCAGTGTGTGAAGAGAAGATCCCACTGCCAGAAGAAATGGCAGAAGAGGCAAGAGACTGGTGGTACTACGACGACATCAGTGGAAAAGAGCTTCTACCTGAGAAGGTAGAGAAAGCCAGAAAAGATGAAATCGACATTGTCGAATCAATGGGAGTTTGGGAAAAGATCCCAAGAAGCACAGTTCCAAAAGGAACCAAAATCATTGGAACTCGATGGGTAGATATGAACAAGCAAGATGAAACCAATCCTCTCTACAGAAGTCGATTGGTAGCGCAAGAGATCAAAAGAGGCTCAGGTTTTGACGAATTTTTCGCAGCCATGCCGAGCCTTGCAGCTTTGAAGCTACTGCTAACCATTGCAGTCAGCGACAGCCTTCCATTGGAGAAAGGCGAAAGAAGAAAAGCAAAGCAATCTTTCCTAGGATTTTTAGATGTGAAGAGAGCTCATTTCTACTCCAAAGCAACAAGAGAACTTTATGTTGAAATTCCGTCAGAAGGCAAGAAACCAGAAGATGGAGATGTGGTAGGAAGATTGGTCAGAAGCCTTTACGGCACCAGAGACGCACCCATGAATTGGGAGCTGACCATTGCAGAGTTCATGAAGAAGCTAGGATTTGTTCAAGGCAAGTCCAACCCATGCATCTACTACCATGCATCCAGAGAACTTCGAACAGAAGTGCATGGAGACGATTTCACGACAGTTGGAAGTTTTGACGACATCAAATGGTTTCACACTTCAGCAGCCAAAGAATGGCAAGTTGTGGAACGAGGCATTCTCGGTCCACCAGGTTCACCAAAGGCAAGCCAACAGATCAGAGTGCTGAATCGCATCATCACCTGGTCAAATGAAGGCATTTGGTGGGAACCAGATCCAAGACATGCAGAGTTGATCATCAAGTGGTTAGGCACTGGTCAACCAGGCAAGGTCAAAACACCTTTGGCCAAGCCAAGTCAAGAGGAACTCCAACATGAAGAAGTTCCGCTGAGTGCCGAAGATGCAACGATGTATAGATCTATTGCTATGAGAGCCGCGTATTTGGCACAGGATCGACCTGATCTGCAAACTGCAACGCGCTCATTGGCACAAGGTCTACAGAACCCAACATCGAGGCACTGGAATATGCTGAAACGATTGGCTCGATATGTCAGGTATCGACCAAGAGTTGCGCAGTTGTTTCCAAACCAAAGCACCTGCAACCCCTTCAACATATGGTCAGACGCCGACCATGCAGGTTGCATAAGGACACGAAAGAGTGTGTCAGGAGGCGTGCTCATGGCCAACAAATGCTGTCTTACAACATACAGCAAAGGCCAAGGAGTTGTCTCCCTGAGCAGTGGCGAATCCGAGTACTACGGACTTGTTTCTGGAGCATGTCAAATGCTTGGAATCGCATCAACAGCAAGAGACTGGGGATTGTTTCCCAGCAAAGAGGTGACAATGGACGCTTCCGCTGGCATCGCCATGGGAAACCGTCGAGGTTTGGGACGAGCTAAACATGTTGACACTCAATACCATTGGGTACAAGAGCGCACAGCAAAGAAAGAGTTTCGTCTCAAGAAAGAAGGCACCGACCGAATGTTGGCCGATGTGCTAACGAAAGCTGGCACCGAAGAGAAAATGACTACAGCCATGAAAGGCATGAACTTCCACTACTTGGAAGGTGAGCATGAGCTGACTTTGAAAGCGTGAACGGCTTGAGCTAAAGTAGGTACTTCTTCAAGACCAAGATGTACTGAAGGGCTACGAGCTAATTCACCGAAGTGCTAATCCTGACTCGCTTAACTTCTGGGAGATGTTAAACTCGGGAGGCGTGATCAGATGTAGCACCAGTTACATGTACATGACATAGCTTGTATAGATGTATGTTTCACTGCAGCCGTTTGTGGTTTACTTTTGTGTTCATTTCACCGCCAGAGCTCAGTCAAGCGTGAGCTAAAAGTGTGCCTAAGCTTCAACTACAACCTTTGGGACTGTGACCCTAAGTCACTGAGTTTAAGAGCCTAAATTCTCCGTTCACTCAGACCTTGAAAGATCAAGATAAAACGTAATAGACAAGATCATGATACCCACCCAGTGGAGACGCTGTCGCCAACGACTGAGGCGATGGCTCCGGGAAGCTTTGGCCCCTGAGTTGGTCCGAGTACAACTGGAGCCGCAGGGGTGACGAGAGGATCACAAGAGCTGGATGCAGGGTCCCAGTGTTTTGGTCGAGCTGCTAAGCATGCTAAAGCCTGCTGTTAAGCTGCTATGATGCTGACACCTTTCCATCAGTGCTTGAATCTGGATGTTTCCACCAGTTTGTTCCACTGTTTTGCGGGCCATTGGGCTTTGGAGTTTGGCGGTACGAGTTTCATTGTACACATCAACAGTATAATGAGAGTTGCGTCAAAATTTGGAGTTTGGAACCGACATCATCCACTCATATTGGGAAGGGGAAGACCAATATCATATGCCACCCACGACATGGTTTGTGGTGTAACAATTGCGTGGTGCATGTCATGACTGCGTAGAACAACCAGAAGAACAACCAGACATCTGCTTTGGAAATGATCTCTAACAAAACAAAAGAGTCGGTCCTCAATAGCCTCAAATCATTTCGACGGACAATGGACACTGGCTTCGAGAATGCACCGCCAGGGCGGACATGTGAGACTCAGAACGGTGTTGATATAGGTCTTCACAAGCACAAGCATGACATGAGTTCATGAAGCGATTGATTGAAAAATAACATGGGGACTTCCTGGGAACGTCCACCGTTTTTGGGGAAAGCACCCGACTGTTCACGACGTTCTTCTTTGTGGAGGACCTCGCCTCAGAACGCCGTTGCCGGGAGCGCTTGGAGAAGAAGGCGGATTGTTTTCGTGCGCGGCCCATCATCGCTCGCGGATGACAGAACAGCCGACGTATGCCTGCCTCAAATTTCGGAGAATGAACCCTGCATTTGTTCAGCAGAATTGCTCTTCCTGAGAGCACCCCGCATGAATGCCCCTTCCAAAGCTACATCAAGGCCAAACCGGCAAGGGTGTAGCCCAATCATGCCCAATCTCGGACCAGCGCTCATCCTGTGAGGTGGGATCAAGCTCATCTCCCAGGGTGCCTGCACCAGCTGTAGCAACCACTTGGTCCTTTCAGTCCTTCGAATCGAAGCTCCGTCAAGCCCGTGCCGCCCCGGCCGCCCCGGCCCCGGCCGCCCCGGCCGCCTCCAGACGGTCGAGCAGAGCGGAGACGGACACCGTCGAGCCGGTCCGGCCGGTCTTGGCCGAAGCCCCTCTCGAAGATCAGCGAGAACCGGCGCCGGCTGAAGCAGAACCACCTGCGTTGGAAGTGACGGCACGGCCGGCAGGAACGGAGCTTCCAGCGCCGCCCGAAGCCACAACGGCCGAGCCAACAGAGCAGCTACCAGAGTCAGCACCGGAGCTGGAGCCAGTTCCGGAGAAGGCGGAAGCAAGCGCAGCTGTTCTGGACAGAACTGGTGAAGGAGGCAGAGAAACTTCACAGGCCGCTTTCCAAGTTGCTTTGGTACTGAAAGAATTCTATTGATATCTATATTGATAGGTTGACCAAGCCTCAAAGCATGGTTCGAAGTGACACATCGCAAGACCTGACTGGGTAAAGCAACGGCCCCCATGGCGAGATCACGGCCTACAAAGCGTCGAATATGGACTCAGCTTCCATGCTGATTAAACCAAATCTTCAAACCAAATCTTCCATCTTTAGTGCTACCCTCGAATCCAACTACCCTTGGATATCTCCATCCCCATGCCTTGGATATCTCGATCTTCCCTTCCGTCGCCTGAACCGTCCTCTTCAGGCAGAGGAGGAGCGGGCAACGCCACGTGGCTCCGAGGTGAACACCCCGACGTTTTGTCTTCTGTTCGCAAGGGAGGAGTGATGACTCTGGGGATGAGCATACAAAAGTAGAAGTCCGTTCTAGATGGTCAATGGTCAAAAGTAGAAGTTAATAATCGCTATATAATATAGTTGATCATCGTTAATCTACTTGACAAATCTTATAGAGAGAAATCTTGTAACAAGTCTTGAAGCCTTTGTTTTCCTTGCGGAAGACCTATGACCTGACCTATGGTAAGAATTCTGTTTGTGCCAGGAACTCACTCGCTCCACCCCATATGCAGCGTGTTGTTCTTGTGCAGGCTCCTCGTAACCGAGCCCTACTGGGGCGCATGAGACGTTCGTTGAAAGAACGATGAAGGCGAGGAGACATCGTTCGGGCGGAGTAGGCCATGTTGGGGCACAGAATGTTGGAAAATGAGTGGAATCACACTTAATTGCATCATTGTGGGAAAGAGCATATAATTATATGAAGTTTAAAACACATGCTCACGTTTCTGACATCTTGACTGTATGTGTTGCATGTGTTTTCATATGTTCCTCCGGAACCTCCGCCAGGACCTGGAGGACTGAATTGCTCGGAGTGAAGTCGCGGAAGATGAACAGCCACGTCACGGCATGGCCTTGGGATGCGAACCTGAACGGAACGAACGGGTGTGGATGGTGTTGCAACCTGGATGTGAAACCCAGGATTCTGCCGCTGAGGGTGGGTTTGTGAAAGTGAAAGACTGTGCTTCTGTGAAAGACTTTGCTTCTCCACGCCGCAGTGGAACTGAAGCCTCGAGAGGCACAGGCCGCCCTGACGTCCACTCCAGACCCAGCGGGTGTGTAAAACAAAGGCCAAACATTTGGGCGTTGTCCAACACTTGGGGGGAGGCCATCGCTAGTAGGTTGGAGGCCAACGCTCTTAGGTTGGAGTCCAAGGCCATCGCTATTAACAAAGAAAAGGAAGAAAGGTCTAATATAGTTTGCTATTAGGTTGGAGCTTCGTTCAGCTCGTGTGCTTTGTGATGTGCAAATTGACTGGTACGGCTGTGTTGGATCAGCGATCCGATTTGGACGTCAGACATCGTCAGAAATTCATTCCATGCATTTTGGCTCAAGTGAAAAAAGACGGGCATTGCCCCAGGGTGAAGAGACATATTCTTTTCGATTCATATTCATTCGGTTCATATTGGCGGCCTTGTTTGTTGGTGACAACTTTTGCCTGTGAGAAGCATCTCCATCATTCTCCATCATGTTTCGACCTCTCCGCGGGAGCACGGTCAAGCTATGTGAGTTGGAGAGACACTTGGACCATAAGCAAGTGCTTATATGTCCCTCTCGTAGTTGTTGGAACGTATATTAACTTCCCGTAACGTACAACAGTAATGCAACTTGAGTAATTATGCCTTTGGAGTAAGTGTGAGTAAGTAATAATGACTCTTGATTAGTAAAACCCCCCTCCCCCCGTCGAATCCATGAGGCTCCTGATTAATAATTGATACTGAACAAAGCAATTGGCATTAAAGGAAATCAATAGCAATCAAAAGGAAATCAATAGCAATCAAAAGGAAATCAATAGCAATCAAAAGGAAATCAATAGCAATCAAAAGGAAATCAATAGCAATCAAAAGGAAATCAATATGAATCAAAGGGAAATCAATATGAATCAAAAGGAAATCAATAGGAATCAAAAGGAAATCAATAGGAATTAAAAGGAAATCAATAGGAATTAAAGGGAATCAATAGGAATTAAAGGAAATCAATAGGAATTTAACGCAGTTGAATTAGCAGAAGCTCAATAATAAGAGAAACATGATTGGTTTAATATTTACAGAATTATCTAACAATGAACAGCATAGACCTTATTTTAGGGGGTGTTTTTAAGAAACAAATAATTCCAGAGAAATCATGTAGACACTATTCTAGTGGTAGTTATTATTGAAAAATGTAAAAGCGTAGACATTATTCAAGGAGGTTTTTAGTTAAATACCTAAAGAACAGCCATTATCGCAGGTGGTGATATTAATTTAGAGTAAACGTAAGTAGATTTAAAACCAAAAAAAAACTAAAAAGACAAACAAGAAGCTAAAACATCCAAACAAATATCTAATAACATAAACATCAATCTTAAAACACAGTAAATATACAACATAAATTAAGAAAACGTATGCAGACATTAATCCGGAGGGATTTATTGATCCAACCAACAAATCTGTAGACATAATTCTTCTGGGAGGGGTTACTAATTGGCAACCGACATTAGTTGAACAGAACTTTATGTAATTAAGTGGAAGATCATGGCACACCCCAAACAGCTTTATTTGTGAGGGGTTTTTCCTCCTCTGATTTCGGATGCTTTTACTGGTCGTAGAGTTTCGCAGTGCTTGACTGACCAGCTGAGCAGCAGCGTTCAAAACCTCCCTTTACATTTTGTGTTAAGGCTGTGACATAAGGCCATGTGGCGTAAGCAAACCCTGAGTTGCCTAAGGTTGCGTAAGCATTTTTATATACATTCTTGTGCGAAAGGGCCTACGGCAGTAAACTTGGACATCACACATAGATGCGCACATGCTTTCACATGGAGTCTGTTGATGACTTGTTGGATGAGCAACTAGTCGGATTGGAAGGTATGTGGTTGTTCAAGGTTTGTTGGTTAGACATGCAAATGATATGCACAAGCACCCATTGGCACAAGATGGCACAAGTGACCAAGGACTCAAGCACAGTCAAACTGGAACATGCCAAGAACTCATTTGTGTATAGACCTTCGTGGCGCGTAAGGTTCGCGTAGGCGTAAGCCTCTTTTGCCCCTGTGATTCATTGCCCACGATGCTCCTGTTGGGAAAGCGTAAGTTGGCGCAAGCAAATCCTTACGACAGCCAGAGAATAGATGTTTTGACCACCGCTCTGTCTCCGCGTTTTTGCGTTGCTTGGGCATATTCAGGGCCAGAGGACCTGTTTGTACCTGTAAACTCAGTGTGCCCCACAAAGGTAGACTTACTGTAATTTACACACTTAGTGCTAAGTCATGGCCACAGCGTACTGTTCCCAGCGACACGCAAGTTTTTAAGGACTGCTATATAAGGAGCATGGAACTCACGGAATCTCATGCAACCTTTTGTCTAAAAATTGTACACTTTGAAGAATTCCTTCCACAGACAGTAGACTACTTTACCTGTGTGGGGTTCGAAGGGATAAATCGAGAAAATGGTTTTCTGTGAAGGTTCACAATTTGTGTTATTGTTTGCCCTACATGCACAAAGTTCAAACGGTGCCTTTACACAGAAACAGCTTTAGCATTCTATAAGTTGTTTTTTCTGCAATCTTTTTCGTTCAGCACAAGAGCCTAGCTAGACTGACCTTTGTCGTGACCCATGCAAAACAGGGTTACTACGCTGGAATTGCTGGAATATGTTTTAAGAGCTACTTCCGAGCTATCCGTGATGGCTGTTTTCACTCATAACAAACACACGAGCAGTCTGGGCCCAGTCTTTCTTCTTCATTTGCTCACCACATCACAACCTTTGTAGGCCCATAGTTCTGAAGTTGTATGAACACAGAGGTTAATGAGCTTAGGCTTTCAGAAGAAAAACAACCAGGAAAGCAGACAGGCCTGTTGCTTTTTCTAGCAGTCGGTTTGTGGCGCTTGGGGCCGTCACAAAGTCAGCAGCACTTGGTCTGTTGTGAAGAACACATCGTTTGAACAAAAGACGGCGGTGCCAGTGCTCGCTCCACTGAACATTGATTGCAATCGGCGGTGCGATGCACTGCTCGCGATGCACATCTGCTGGGATGTGGAGCCCAAGACTCAGCAGTAAGACTCAGCTGGCGATCGTACGCCGCATGCCACCGTTGTGAAGAAGCGCTGGAGTCTGGCGTGTTGCCGTGAATCTGTTTACGCCACCGGGCGATTCTAGCCTGGTCAGCCAAGCCACTGCTCTTCTCAGGGCCGTAGACGTAGACGAGTTCAGCTCAGTCTCGAAACGGCTGGCCACGAGATCAATATCTAAGGCATGAGCTTTGAGCCAACATCTGCAGATGCATCCCCCATACTTGGAATTTACAACAAACTCCCAGACTTGGAGATGAGATGACGTGAACGAGATGTCATCGAACATGACGTGTGACACCGTGTGACCTGGGTCCCAGGTGATGGCCAAAGTGCAGAAGGTCGGTGATGGCCAGCGATGGTTTGGTGAACCAGCGATGAGAAGTTTGGTCCGTTTCAGCTTGGTCCGTTTCAGCGGTTCTGTCCGCTTCGTCAGGAATACTAGTTACTAGACGGTGGTTGTTTCTGAAAGGTTTGTTCTCCCACCAGTTCTTGACTGTCAAATCGTCCACTTTAAAATGGATCGTTTTGTCCATGTGCCATTGGTTGCCTTTCCGTTGAAGATTCTGAAGCGGTGTGTTTTTGCACTTTACCCAGTTTTGATTTTATATATAATAAAATGTACAATGACTCTATATGACACCAACAACTTTTCTACGAACAATCAACTTCAAGCTACTGCTTATGTTGGTCGCGTTCTTACTCGTCAATGTAAGTTAGCATAAGTCAGTAGACTTTCAGTAGGTCAAACAAAGTAGACATTCAACCTACTTCAACTAGCATATGTAGATCCTTCCCACAAGATATGGCACACCCCACTGTATGCTGTGCCTGACATAGATGTATGTCTTTGCAGTCTTCGTCGCCGGTGCGTCCACGCGTGTTGGTTCCGTGGGCTCCCTTTTCGGAGTTCCTCGGGTCGACGGTCGTGCCACCGAGGTCAGATGTTCCTCAAGGGTATGGTGACATGACGACGACGAACATCAGCCGTCTTCTAGCAGAGAGATAGACCTCGCTGGCATCATCTTCCCGGCGCAAATAGCAGGCAGTTCGTTGAAACAAAACCCTCTGGCTGCAGAGAAGGATTTGAAACTCAGTTTCACGGGAGTGCGCTCAGTCTCTTGGTAAGCAAAGCCGATTCCTGTCGATTTGCCCAAATCACAAAATCGGATGCAGAATGAGAGAGCGTCCTTCACAATGCATGCCACCGCAGGCAGACAACATGCATC